TGATAAGACATAAACTGGCCATTGCTGTTCAACAGGTCTTGTATAAAAAGAATGTTGTTGTTAAGCCATTCACTGATGAAAATGGGCTTCCCTCCAATGTTTGAGGGAGGTTATTTGTATTACAATGGTGAACATCAAGGAGACTATAACAATTTTGGAGTAATAAAAGGCTATGTTTGATTATACATGTACCTGGATCAACTCTTCCTTTGAATCAAACTCTGATATAATCACATTCTTCCTGTCTTTTAAACTTGTTACAGAGACAAATAGCCTTCCTGAACAAACTCTGTGTGAGTTAGATGGCAGATGAAGCTCAAGTCCTCTTCTTAGATTCCCTACTAAGTCAAACTGTGGATTAAAAGGTCCCAGAGGGTGTCTGCGAGCATCATGAGTAAGGTCAATCACATAGTCGGAACACTTGTTCAGTGGGGCTGATGTTGCCAATACTGCGGCAACCAGAGATCCTGCAGAAGCCCCTGCGAAAGCTGTCACATTCTTCAGAAATTGCGGTGCATGTGATGACAGGCAGGCTGCAACTCCAAGATGGTAAACTCCAAGAAAACCACAGCCTGCAAATGATAGGTTCATGAAATCTGCATGGGGAAAGACGAATATTAAAATTGAGCAGAGATGTGTGTCGTAAATGAATTCAATGAACTGTGTGGGTATAGTGTGAAGATGTAAACAGCCATGACGACAACTTTTAGAGTGGATAGTTAACAAACTCATATTTAGTAAAATACAGAGAACTCAGGCAGCCAGCAATGAAATAAAGATCACAGGATACGTTTAGCAGGCTTACATGTATTGGTCATTCTCTCCCCTAGAAAAGAAATGATCAGTGGAACAGAGGATTGCCTCCAGTCAAGTTAGAAGCATGTAAATAATTTTTACGGACTGATTGCTCTAACAATTTATCAAATTATAAACTGAATAATAAGAAATGAGTAAACTTATACACTGAGTACTGTAATATCAATCCAACTCTGTTCACGTCACATCCTTATCTCTGACCCCAGATAAACAGACAAACAAACAAACAAACAAAGAACCTCCTATCTCCTCCTTAAATCAGCTGACGAGCGATTGCTTCAAAACGATCACGAGGTAATACGGAGCAAGTAAAAAAAATTCCAAGAGAAATCGTTGCATCTTACGACACAGTTAATTTTTGTTAAAGTAGAAAGGCTAGCGTTACTAAAGTAAAGATCCAAGTTACCTTTTCTCTTCTGCAAAAAGAACTCTGAAACTGGAGACAGCACTAAGCGATCATGAAAACATCGACTTAGCGACCACGCTTAAAGAGTTTATGAAATGTAACCACGCTTGTATGAAAAACTGGAATCGGTGGACTTGGCAAAAGAAAATTGGATTTAACCCGGTCATCGAATTTGTTTTCGTTTTCTTCTATTTAGTTTATCTCCTTTGCTTCTTTTCTTTCCTTTTCTCTCGTTCTCTTAATTTTTTTTTGTTTTTTTTTGGAAATCATATAATGAGATAAATGACTCCAAACAATATTGAGACTCCATTAAAGGAGGGGTTTCATTAACTTTCCACTAGATGATCAAACCAGGCAGACCAAATCATCCTCACAGCCGGTCAATTTGCCCGGTGCAGGGCCCTTGTTGAAACCCCTGTGAAATTGGGGNAATTTAGATCTTTTGTGCATTTTAAATTTATTTGTTCAAGAAAAGCTTACAGGTGTATATTTTGCATAAATTCAACAAAAGAGAAAAGTCTGTTTGGCTAAAGTACAGTATCTTTATGAGATGTTTGACATATTTGTATCATCAGCTAAAAACAATATCAGC